AGGCTCTGAGCTGTCAGCACAGAGCCCGATGTGGGGCTCGAACCCACAAACTACCCTAGGACCCAGCAATAGCACTGCTAGGAATTTACCCAGGGGGTACAGGAGTGCTGATGCATAGGGGCACCTGCACCCCAATGTTTATAGCAGCATTTTCAACAATAGCCAAATTATGGAAAGAGCCTAAATGTCCATCAGTTGACGAATGGATAAAGACGATGTGGTTTATATATACAATAGAATACTACTTGGCAAAGAGAAAGAATGAAATCAGGCCATTTGCAGCAACGTGGATGGAACTGGAGGGTATTATGCTGAGTGAAATAAGTCAGAGAAGGACAGATATCATATGTCTGCACTCATATGTGGATCTTGAGAAACTTAACAGAAGACCATGGGGGAGGGGAAGGGGGAAAAATAGTTATAGACAGGGAGGGAGGCAAACCACAAGAGACTCTTGAATACGGAGAACAATCTGATGGTTGCAGGGGGTGGGGGGAGAGGGGAAAGTGGGTGATGGGCACTGAGGAGGGCACCCGTTGGGATGAGCACCGGGTGTTGTATGGAAGCCAATTTGACAATAAATCATGTTAACAAACAGAGAGAACCGTCTACTCTCAAAAATTCCTTACTGCTCTTAAAGAGGTGAGCATCCAGCTCCCTCCTCGATGACGTAAAGGAAGGGAAGAACCCCTTCTCTGTTTTCAGGGGAAACACAGGCAATTGTCCAGGATGCAGAGGAAGCAGTGTGCAGTGCTGAGCAGGTAAGGCGGCTGGTAGGAAGGGGCAGCCCGGCCAGGGGGGAGACAGAGGCATACCTTTCATGGAAGCTTGGGGGTGCACCAGGGAGGGGGCGAGAAGAGACGTGACGCCTGCAGACGTCAGGCCCTCGACCCCACAGACGAGCCGCCAAGAGAAGCAAAGCCAGAGAACCCGCGCGGAGGCCGCTTATGCCATCGGCATCCAGCTGGTTAAAAATAACTTCACTTATTAGTTTAAGTGAGATCACCAGAGGGCTGGAAACTCACTGTCAGTGAAACAAAAATACTGGAAGGAAAATAAGAAAAGTCTACATTCATGATGAGCTTTATTTCAAAAAAGAAACCCAGGAAGGAAGCTGCCAGGATATTCCACAGGCTCTGTTTTCCTTCTGAGCTCTCTATGAGGCCCACGTCTGCCATTTTCGGAGTGAACACGCTTCGTTGTTCCCATCTTGCCAAAGAGAAGTGGGAGCACAGAGTTAAGTGCCGTGAAGCATCGTCAGGGAAGAGGCAACCTCAGGAGGGGATACTGCCCTGGCGCCTATGCTGAACCACACCTCACCTCCACCACCACAGGAGCCGCAAGGACGCCCGTTCCCCTCGGCTTCTGCTAAGGCCTTACACCTTCAGCACACAGGTTTCCCTCGTTGACTGCGCTGTCAACAAAGGCTCCACTGAGGAAAAGTAACGGCTCCACTGAGTAGGGCGAGGGCTGCATGGGAGCGGTTTCAAGGCTCAAAAGGACGAAAGGAGGCTCTGAACAGGGACGGCGCTCTCTCTGAGTGACTCTGGCAGAATCCATCCTACTTTTCTAGAATATTCAAGGGAGAGCAGCCCTCCATCCCTAACACCCCCTCAGCATGCATTCCTCAGTCCCCTTCATGGCCCACCCGAAGCCTCCTCATAAATCAGGCCTGTAGGACCAAGACTCCAGTCCTCCCCACATGAGGCTATCCCTCTCGACCTGGAGGTGAGGGGAGGCCAGGCCAGGCTCAGGCAAAGTGTTCTGGGAGGCAGGACTCTGGAGCACTAATGAGGCACACACAGTGCTCCCTCTACTAAAATGACATCACCCTTCACATAGGCTGACAGCCATCACGAATTGGCTTCCCATGTTGGTTCCCACGATTCAGAGTGTTTTTTGTTTTTCCTGTTGTTGTTATTGTTGTTGTTTTTTGGAGAACTTCGTAGACCATTTCTTTGTTGTTGGAAATTTTTTATTTTTACATAGTTTAACGTTCCAGAAAAATTTTAAGAATCAGGATTTCCACAAAGCTGTTTATCCAGGGGGCCACGGCACGGATGGCTCAGTCCATTAAGCATCCACGTGCAACTCTTCACTTGGGTTCAGGTCATGATCTTACGGCTGGTGAGATCGAGGCCCGTGTTGTGCTTGGTGCTGAAAGCACAGAGCCTGCTTGGGATTCTCTCTTCCTCTCTCTGTCTCTGTCCCTCCCCTGCTCTCACTTGCTCTCTCTCGAAATAAACATTAAAAAAAACGAAACCTGAAAAACCCATTTATCTGGATTTACCAAGGTGTTTTCATTTCACCCATTTGCTTTATCGTTTCCCCCTCTCTAGATAGATAAATAGATACATGATAAATATAGATATCTATTTATACAGAGACAAACATATGTATGTTTGTGTATATATATCTATATATGTATGTATATCTGTATCTGTAATTCTTTCCTGAACCACTTGAGAGTATGTTGTAGGTATGATGTCTCTTCATCCCTAAAACCTTGGTACACATTTCAAGAACAGGGGTATTCTCTTACACAATTGCAGTACAGTTACTAAACGATTATCTAATTCCTAATCCATATTCAGATGTTATCAATTATAGCTATTTCCTTCTGGTCCAGGATACGGCCCAGGCTCACAAATTATATTTTGCATTTTGTCGTCAAGTCTTTTTAGCCTATTTTAATCTAGAACAGTTGCTTTGCCTTGCTCCTCTGAGACATTTTTAAAGGCATTTTGTAGACTGTTTCTCAGTTTGAGTTTGGCTAATGTTTCTTCATGATTAGAGTCAAACTATGCCTTTTTGGCAGGAATACCCCTGAATTGAAGTTGTGCTCCTCTGAGTGCGGTATATCACAAGGCACATTGTGTTGGTTTGGCAAAAACTCAGTAATTCTGGAGTTGCTATCACGGCTTTGAGCTTGGTGCCCTACGGGATGTGAATCGATGTTTCCAAACTCTGGCTTCACGCACTACACTTGCATAGACGCAACCTGTCTGAAGGCCTGTGAGGCGGGAAGCCCAGGCTACCCTGTTGGATGATGATGAACAATGGTTCAGTGGCCCCTGGTGCCCTAGCCAACAGCCACCAACTCCCAGAAGCAAGGCCACCTAACCAGCCACTGACTGTAGACTCCTGAATGAGCCCAGCTGAGCCCAGCAGCAAAACACAAACCGCTGGTCCAAAAAAGGCGGTGAACTCAATAAATAGTTGTTCAACGCCACCACATTGTGGGGTGTTATGTTACGTAGCAGAAGCTAACTGACACCCCTTGTTATCAGGGAAAGAAAAGACTCAGAAGCCCCACATATTCACTGAAGGAAGAAAGTCATGCTCTCTTTCTTCTGGCTCTGTTCTGTCTCTCTCAGGGATCTGAGCTTTTGCCTGTGTTTGGGATTCAAAGGATCATTCTAATTTACTTAGGTGATTTTGAAAAACAAACCATGGGTATTGTTCTCCCCAGGCCCTGCAGAGCAAGGCCACATCATTCACTAGCTCAACTGGGCAGATACTAGGAGACTCTCCCAACACACCCTTCCATAGCAATTAGCAAATGAAGAAACCCTTCTGGAGGAAGAGCCCGTAGGAGCAGAGAAACCTGTCACTGATAAGCATCTAACGGGCACCAGCCAGGGCCTTGGGGTTCCCCTGGCTCTCTGACTTCCCAACTCCTCTGATCCCTTCCTCCGAGATTAGGATTGGTGCCTCTAGAATACAGCCTGAGGGTTTGTATTCCTAACAGGTCCATTTGGTATTTCTCATCATCAGAGCGGTTTGGGACACTCTGCATTAGGAAAGCAGCTCTCGGGGCGCCTGGGTGGCTCAGTCGGTTAAGTGTTCGACTTTGGCTCAGGTTCTCACGGTTTGTGGGTCCGAGCCCCGCATCAGGCTCTGTTCTGACAGCTCAGCCCGGAGCCTGCTTTGGATTCTGCATCTCCCTCTCTCTCTGTTCCTCCCCTGCTCTCACTCTCTCTCTCTTTCTCTCAAAAATAAAGATTAAAAAAAAAAATTTAAAAAAAAAAAAAAAAAAGGAAAGCAGCTCTCAAGCTGGACGATGTGTTAAAATCACTGAAGAGCTTTAAAGAACCCGAATGCCCAGAACATTTATATCTGAATGTCTAGGGCTGGTACCCAGGAATCAGTACCTCTTAAAACCTCCCAGATGAGGCCAATGTGCAGCCAAGCAGTATGCTGATTTCCAGCACTGACGAGTAAGCAGCTGTCTTTTGCCCTGTTTGCACGTACACCGCCCTCTCAACAGCACGTGTTTCTGATAATGAAGGTGTACTGATTTCAGTGCACATGAGATGCTATCCTGGAGACTCCAGTGTGGTTTTCTCACTGCTCAGCCGATTTACCAGAGGGAAGCAGAATCATCCATCCTGGGAGCAGTTTCCTAAATCCTGTAAATTTCCTTTTGGGGAAAAAAATGATTTTTTTTTCCTTTTTAGTGTGCTGTCCACTGCGAAGACAGACCGAAGGACAAGCTGTATCAGCAACTGTAGCAGATGCTGCAGGGGTCTGCCCCGCATCACCTAGATGCCTTGATCATTTCCATGGTGGTTCCTGGTGGGCACTTTTGCATCTTTGCCGGAGGGTGGCACTCAGGCTACTGGAACCCTTTGCCAGCACACATCGTAAACCAGAAGAGCCTGGGGATTTACATCTCCCTGAAGCAGCCCTTATCCAATGACTGACAGGTGCACTGGTGTGGCTACCCCTGCCTTCTCACCCCTGATCAGGGAAACTGGTGACCTTCACTGTCTCCTGAGACCTCCTGTAGGACCGAGCCAAAGTCACCCGTCACCTCACCGCCACTGTGGACTTTGCTGAGTGTGGCACCCCTGCTTTCTCTGCCCACTGCCCCACTGCCCTACTGGCTTTTCTTTGGAAGCCTTTCTCGTCGCAAGGTCTGCTTCCGGAGAATGCAGCCTCAGATGGCAACCACCATGCACACCCTCCAGAACCTTTACAAGGGTTCTGGCACTGACCTTCATCCTTCATACAGAGGGCATTGGACCTGCCACCAGGAACCGGGCTGCTTTCAATTCTCACGTCCACGGCTCTCATGATTTGCTGCTCACCCTTCCCCTTGCCGCACACGGTTGTCCTGAAACACACAAAGAAGACTGTGTCAGGGGGACTAAGAACGGGAAAGAACAATTCTTTTCTGCTGTCGGTTCGGAATCAGCAGACATTTTTCTGATTTAGGATCTCTGGCTGAAAGCATCCGTAGGGAAATACTCTCCCCAAACACATGTCTACACTCAGGAAGACACAGGTGACGCTTCAGGGAGGCCAAAGTTACCAATTCAAGTTTCAGAGGAAGGACCTCATTGATCTTTTCTAGTGTATGGTTTTGTTTTGCTATGTTTATTTCACAAAATGCTGCTTTTTTTTTTTATTAGTTCCTTTCTTTGGGAGGGGGTTTTTCTGTTCCTTTTCAGATTTCTTAAGACGGATCGTAACTTAGTTTATAAACTTTTAGCCTTTCCTCTTCTCTAACACAAGCATTTAAATGCTTTACGTGTTCCTCTGGGTACAGCTTTAGTAGGCATCTTACAAGTTTGAGTATGTTATCGTTTTAATATCATTCAGTTCTACGTACATGCTACTTAACAAACCATAATGTATCTTTGCCCCGTGATATATTTAGGGGTATCTTTGGTCAACAGCAAGTAGTAGAATTTTTTTTTAAATCTTTGTTTTCTAAATGAAGCGCCCCATCTATTTTAATCTCATTTAATCACAGATCTCTGTGAATTGAAACCTGCCATCTTTCTATTCGTTCTGCGCATTCTTTCTTCCTCTCTTTTCTTTCTCCTACTTTGGTTGTTTGAATTCTTTTTTTTTTTTTTTTTTTTGGCATTCCCTTTTTCTGTATGGGTCTGTAAGTTATATGCCCTTTTACTAACCTCCTAGTGGTTACACTGGAGATTATGTATTCCTCCCTGACTTTTTAATATTACTTTCACCCTCTTCTCCAACAATACAACTTAAAAATACTTAAAATACTGTGTATTGGGGCACCCGGGTGGCTCAGTTAGTTAAATGTCTGACGTTGGCTCGGGTCGTGATCTCGCAGTTCATGAATTTGAGCCCCACGTCCGCCTCTGTGCTGACGGCTCAGAGCCTGGAGCCTGCTTCGGATTCTGTGCCTCCCTCTCTCTCTGCCCCTCCACTGCTCATGTTGTTTCTCTCTCTCTCTCTCTCTTAAAAATAAACGTAAAAAATTAAAATACTATATATTAACATACTTAAAACACTTCCTGACTTATATGCCACTTAGTGTTTAGTACTATTATTCTTGCTTTATATAATTACACAATTTCAATTTACCCCTATGGTTACTCTTTCTATTCATTTCTTTTTTGAATCTCCAGGCTTCCACCTGTAACTACTGTCCTCTTGCCTGAATATTAGCCTCTAGGGTTTCTTTTAGTGCGGGTCTGACATAATGAATTTTTTCACTTTTTGTCTGTCTGAAAATGTCTTTATTTTACTTTTATTCCTGGAAGATATGTTCACTGGGTATAAAATTCTAGGTTGGCAACAATTTTCTTTCAGCACTTTGAAAGTATCATTCAACTGTTTTGGGGTTTTCATTGTCCATTTATTGTCGCTCCTTGGAAGGTACCCCTTCTTATTACTACTTTTAATATTTTTCCTTCATATTATTAGATTCTTATCAGTTTCACCATGATGTGTCAAGTTGTGAATTTATTTGTCACACTCATGTTTTGAAGGGTTTCTTGAATCTGTGCCTGGATGTTTTTCCTCAGTTGTAGAGAAGTCTTTTCTTAAGTTTTAGATAATTGCTTTTGTTCCTTCTTTCAAAATTCCAATTACATATTTCTTTGCCTCTTACCCTTTCTTCTGTATTTTATCCTTTTTTCTTCTGTTTTTTTTTTTTTTTTTTTTTTTTTTTTTTATTCTGGATACTTCCTGAAATATCTTCTGGTTCACTAATTTTCTCTTTGGGTTTTTTTTTTTTTTTTAATCAGCTATTAGATCTATCCACTATGCTCTTAATTTTAGTTACTGTATGTTTCACTTCTGGAGCTTCCACTTGGTTACTGTCATAGTTTTAGTCTTTTGTCAAAATTCTCCTTGTGTCTTCTGTATCTTTGAACATTTGAAAAGTTATTTTAAGTCTGCATCTACCAATGCTAATATCTAGAGCTTCTATTCGCTATCTTTTTTCTGGTTGCCTTGTCTCCTTATGTAACTGGTTAGGTTATATTATGTGGCAGGGTGCCCGGGTGGCTTAGTCAGTTAAGTGTCTGACTTCGGCTCACATCACCATCTCACGGTTTATGAGTTCGGGCCCCGTGTCGGGCTCTGTGCTGACAGCTCAGAGCCTGGAGCCTGCTTCGGATTCTGTGTCTCCCTCTCTCTCTGCCCCTCCTCCGCTCACATCTGTGTCTCTCTCTGTCTCAAAAATAAATAAACATTAAAAAAAATTTTTTTAATGTTATATTGTGTGGCAAATCGTATTTTTCCTAAAATTGTTTGAGGAAATACATTGCCTAGGATAATGTCATCCTTCTAGAGAGGATGTTTACAATCAGTTCCACTAGCTATATGGGACACTGGAGCTCCAGTATCATCTCAAGCCACACTCATGGCTCCAGAAGATTTTAAGCCACGCTGCAGTTCCCGTGAGGGCCTGCATACGTCTTCCAGTTTACTCTTACTCCTGGGGTACAGCCCTGGAATGCCCCAGCCCAAAGCAAACGACTCCACAGGACCTGCCTACGCAAAACCTGAATTCCAATGTCTGTCCTAGTCCTATGAAGCTATGTAAATTGCCGCTCGGTTTTGTTCAGTCATCCTTTATGGAATGCACAAAGGCTTCCAGGAGGCGAGTGGCCCCCAATTTTGGATTCACCACTTTAGGGCTCCATCTCCCTCTGGGTTTATGTGTATAGTCAACTGAAATCCATGGAGACACAGATCACATGAACTGTACGTTTATTATGCCATCAATTGTAAGACGTGCCATACATTTAATAATTGGCCTTCAGGGTAGAGGGCGGATGGCTGAAATGTATGTATTGATGATCAGATACTCCTTGGTTCCAGAAACATCAAAATAGTTTTATTTTTAATACGTCGTGTTGTAAATCTATCAAGGAAGTATGTTTGCTACAAAGAAATATCATCTAAGCAATGTAGAGATCTACTAATATGTCCTAACACCATACCGCAAACCCAGAGAGGACAGACCTTTCCAAAGACCCACTCCTGATCTGTAAAGCCTGGGAGACCTAAGCCTGGCTTCAAACTGGCTCTTCGGAATTCCTAAACACCCTGGTTATCTGATGTAATGACAGTAACAACGTTATGAAAAATATTCACACTTAACTACGTTGTGGAAATATGCATGCACAGGACCCACTTTGTCTGCCCAGAACCCGGATGTAAAATGTAAGGCAGAGAGAGCCACGGTTCCAGATTCACTGAAAAGCTTTGGGGGTAGCCTTAGCGGACTTCTTTGTCCAACTGCTGCTTCACGTGTGGCCCAATTGGAAATGTAAGTCAGCCCGGTTGTGTGTGTTGTCTATGGCCATCTGCCAGCCCGTCCTCAAGGTTATTATCAACCAAAGTAGTTGTTGGAGCCCGCTCCGCTCGCTCACATTCTTGTGGCATGAAGGAGACAGGAATGGCCCCTGCCTTTTCTGAGTATGACTAAAGAAGCAGTGACCAGAACTAATGGGAAGTTTTCTCCCGGCTGGCCACAAGAATCATTTCTCCGCAAGGATTCCTTTGGTCAGGAACTGAGGGCCCGAGGGGAATGGCTTGCCTCCGATCTGTGATGTCTAGGGCCTGAGCTGGGAAGACCCAGAAGCTGGCAAGAACTCAACAGCTGGGGGACAAGAATCACGGAGAGACACCTTCACTGGCATCTCTGGCAGTCGATGCTGGCTATGGACCGGGACCCCGGTTGGGGCTATCGGTGAGGGCACCTCTGTGGGGCATCTCCCTGTGGCCTGGACTTCCTCACAGCATGGCCCTCTCAGGATAGGCAGACGTCTCACATGACACGTCAAAAGTGAGTGTCCCAGGAATCTGGGCATGGATTTTTCCGACCTAACCTCAGGAGTCACATGGTAGCACTCTTGCTGTATTCTATTGGTCCAGGCCATTCTATGCTGTGCCTGATTTAAAGGGAGAGGACACAGACCCGGCTCTCCATGGGAGTAACACGAAAGAACTCGTTCCCATCCGCCTATTCGCAGGTATGTAGACGAACCCCCACAGGGAAAGAAGAGATCAAGGGTATACACCGAACAGTTAACAGCCATTACCTCTGAGGTGGGGAAGAAGAGAGAAACTCAGTTTGAACTTTACACATGTCTGTATTACTTGAACTTTTCACAAGCACGTACTAGTTTTGTGACTTAGAAAGAAACTCGACACAACAAAGTCAGGGGGGAATACGGTGACAGAACTCCAGAAACGTGTTTTTATTTGAGAACTGAAAACAAGAATGTGCCTGAAGCCACTGCCCCCTGGCCTTGGCCCATCCTGGCACCTCAAAACGGTGACCGAGCCCCCACAGGAGCCCCGGCGGGGGAGCGGGGGTGCGAGGGAAGGAGAGCTCTCCCCAGCGTGCCTGACTCACCCCAGGGTGCCATCCGCCAACCAGCCCGTGGTGCACACCGCAAAGGCACAATCCTGGACCACCCTCCGCAGCTCGTCCGCAGACACCAGGTGCGCACCCCTGCTCCTGCAGGAAAGCCGGGCCGCCTCCAGCTCCAGGCCGCGCGAGCCGTTCTCAGATTCCAGCACAAACAGCTTCCCTGTGTGGGGACAGGCACGAACACGGGCTTACCCCAGGATCCACGGGGTTGAACCTCAGCACACTCAGTCTGTGGCAGACACGGGTCGCAGCTGTGGTTTCCTGCTGGCCGCGAGTCCCCAGCGAGCAGCGACCCCCCCCCACTGTACTCGTCCCGGGACGAGGTGACGACACTTACTTTGGTGCTTTTGCCTGTCTTACGCTCCTGTCGCCTTTAATGACTTCTTTTTGGTTTTAAGTTTCTTTTCTTTTTTTTTTTTAATTTTTTTTTTTTAACATTTTATTTATTTTTGAGACCGGGAGAGACAGAGCATGAACAGGGGAGGGTCAGAGAGAGGGAGACACAGAATCTGAAACAGGCTCCAGGCTCTGAGCTGTCAGCACAGAGCCCGATGAGGGGCTCGAACCCATGGACCGTGAGATCATGACCTGAGCCGAAGTCGGACGCTTAACCGACTGAGCCACCCAGGCGCCCTAAGTTTATTTTCTTAGAGAGAGACAGAGACAGCGCAAGGAGGGGAGGGGCAGAGAGAGAGAGAGAGGGAGAGAATCCCAAGCAGGTTCTGTGCTGCGAGAACAGAGCCTTGATCCGGGGCTCAAACTCCCGAACCACGAGATCATGACCTGAGCTGAAACCAGGAGCCTGAGGCTTCACTGACGGAGCCACCCAGGTGCCCTGCTCCTGTCTCCTTTAAAACAAAATTAACCATCTGCTTTGCATGCTTCTCTGGACACACCCTTGAAACCTTCCTTTTTCAAAACTATTTTACAAACACCGTGTCATAAGGCCCAGCGTCCTAGTTGTCCCGGGCAGCTGGGCAGTCGGTGTCCAGGGGACGGACGTCGGACTCGGGTCTGCCTTCTTCTGCCTGCCCTGGCCCCGGGGGGACCCCGTACACGGCAGGCCGCTTCCCCTCTCCTTGTCTCAGAACATCATCGGGCCCGTCCCGCACTTGTGCGGGCTGCCTCTTGTCCCGGGCCGGACGGGACAGCGGAGGCCACGTCCGGGGCACCGCGGCTTCCCGTAGCACCTCGGTAAACGGGCGTGCAGCGAGCCTCAAAAACGTGGGACAGGTGAGCGCCATGGGAACAGGAAACCAGGCAGAGGAGGAAGCTGAGTCTGAAGGCAAAAGAGAGCTTTCGGCAAGAAACTCATGGCGGAGGAGGGAGGGAGCACTGTGGTCTCTGGGAGCCTCCTGCAGAGGTGAAGCAGTGCCTGGGAAAACCCTGTCGGGTTTAAGGTAGGGGGCAGGAAAAATCCCGGTTAGAATGAGACACTTCGCTTCCCTCTTTTGGCAAAATTATCACACTGTGTTGATTTTATTGGAATGAGACACGTCAGCTGTGATCAGTTCTGAGATAATTATAATAAATACGATAAGCCCTCAGCTTTGGGATCAAAGCCGTGAGGAAAATTAAAAAGTGTTTCACACGAAACGTATCTGTAGGTGACTCGTCCTCCCTTAGACTCGGTGCCAGTGTGCAGTACACGGTCTGAACAACTGTACTCGATGGCCCTGCCTGAAGAAGCATGTGCCCCAAGACACTTCTGTGTCAATGGCATTTGCCTCAGTGGGAAAAAATATTAGGAAAATTAACTGATGCGCTGATAGTCAACCCCTTGAACGAGGGGGACAAAAGGGAAAGCCCAGGGCGCACATGAGGCAGAGAAGGCGACAGGCCTCTCCTCTCCTCTCCACCACCATCACACCCGCAGGTAAATACACAAAGCTGGGACCCTGAGGGGTTTAGCTCTCAGGATAAGAGTGACCGAGGATAAACAGTACTCCCTCCCCTCATTCTCAAGGGACCGTGGGAAGAGTTGTCTGAGTGCCACATACCCAAGCGCTAATACTCAGTGGGAAATGTCACCCTGACAAAAACTGACGTCTAAGATACTTTAAGCCGTGAATTTAGCTTAAAGTGGCTTGAGGCCGACATTTATCGACACCTGGTAGGAACAAAGGGAAATCTTGTCTGGAGGGAAAAAAATATCTTCATCGTAGGCTTCGGGAAATCCCATGCAAATATTCTTTCAAAGGCAATGACCACAACACTAAAACACGGCTAAGTGTTCAGGAGACGAGGCACCACGAGTGAGAAACAACATTCACAGTGTCCAGCAGAAACTGACCTAAAGGTACATCTGATAGTGTTAGTAATAGGCACAGATCATAAAACAATGATAATTACCACATTTAAAGGAAGAAAAGACAAGTCTGAAAATATCTGCAAAGAAGAGAAAACGACAAAAAGGGGCTTCGCTGAACTGCAAAAGAACCAGGTAGGACTTCTAGAAATAAAGTCACAGTGATAAATCAAAAATGCAGTGGATGCTTTTGGCTGCATGTCAGACACAATCGAACAAAGAACTTATCCTTGGGGCGCCCGGGTGGCTCGGTGTTTGACTTCGACTCAGGTCATGATCTCACAGGTCATGAGTTCGAGCCCCATGTCGGGCTCTCTGCGGACAGCTCGGATTCTGTGTCTCCCTCTCTCTCTGCCCCTCCCCCGCTCACACTCTGTCTCTCTCTCTCAAAAATAAAATAAAAACATTAAAAAAATTTTAAAAAAGAACTTATCCTTGAAACAGAAGTCAGAAGAAATCATTCAAAAGGTAGTAGAGAGACAAAAAAGATGGAAAATAGTAAGTTAATAAAAAGACATAAAGGAAAGAATGAGATTCCAGAAGTAAATCTCCACGTTGACAGTCAACTGATTTTCAACAAGGGTGATTGAGACCACCCAATGGGAAAAGAAGAATCTTTTCAAGAAACGGTGCTGGAACAACTCAACAGGCACGTGCAAAAGAGTGAAGCTGGACTCCCGCCTCACCCTCTACACAATAATTCACTCAAAGTGAATCAAAGGCCTAAATGGAAGAGCTAACACCGTAACACTGAAGAGAAAACATAGGAAATCTTTGTGATCTTGGATGATGCTATGGTTTCCTAGATAGAACACCAAGAGCACAAACAACTGAGGAGAAAATATACAAACTGAACTTCATCAAATTAAAAACGTTGTGCTTCAGAGAACAAAATCAATAAAGCGAAAAGACAACCCACAGAACGAAAGAACATTTCTGCAAATACACATCTAGTAAGAAACTCGTATATAGAGTGGGTAAGGAACTCCCACAACCCAACAACAATTAAAGAGACCAAGCAACCTGAGTACAAATGGGCCAAGGACTTGAAAAGGTCTTTCTCCAAAGAAGCCATACAAACGGCCAAGAGCACATTGCCGACGTTGCTAACCATCAGGGAAATGAAATCAAAACTACAATTAAATACCACTTCAGGGGCGCCTGGGTGGCTCAGTCGGTTGGGCGTCCGACTTCGGCTCAGGTCATGATCTCGCGGTCCGTGAGTTCGAGCCCCGCGTCGGGCTCTGGGCTGACAGCTCAGAGCCTGGAGCCTGTTTCGGATTCTGTGTCTCCCTCTCTCTCTGACCCTCCCCCGTTCGTGCTCTGTCTCTCTCTGTCTCAAAAATGAATAAATGTTAAAAAAAATTAAAAAAAAAATAAATACCACTTCATGCTCACTAAGATGGCTACTAATAAAAAAGAAACGACAGAAAATAACAGGGTTGGCAGATAGGTAGGGAAAAAATATCGAACGTGTATGCATTGCTGGTGGGATGGTGAAGTATGATTCACAACAACCATTTGCGGAAGCAACCAGAGTGTCCATCAACAGATGAACGGGTAAACAAAATGTGGTATAAAACACAAAGGAATATTAATTATCCTTAAAGAGAAGGAAAATTTGACAGATGCTACAACATGGATAAGTCTTGAAGACATTATATTAAGTGAAGTAAGTTAGTCAAATTCATAGAGAGAAAAAATAGAATGGGGGTTACCAGGGGCTGGGGTGGGGACGGTAGAGAATTAATGCTTAATGGGAATGGAGTTTCGGGTAGGAAAGATGAAAAAGCCCTGGAAACGGATGGTGGTGACAGGTGTATACCCATGTGAATGTACTCAAATGCCACAGAATTGCACACTTAAAAATGGCTAAAACGGGCAAAGGATCTGAATAGACATCTTTAAAGAAACGGCCAATAAGCACACGAAAAGATGCTCAACGTTATCGGCCGACAGCAAAATGCAAATCAAAACCACAAGGAGATGTTACTTCCTATCCAGTAGGATGGCTATCATCAAAAAGACATTTTTTGACATAAGTGATGGTGAGGAAGTGGGTAGAGTGGAACCCTCAAACGCTGCTGGTGGGAACAGAGAAGGATGCAGCTGCTTGGAAAACCATCTAGCATCTCAAAAGTTGATAGCAGTTTCTCCTAGAGTTACCACGTGACCCAGCAGTCATACTCTTAGGTGAATACCCAAGAGAACTGAAAACACATGTTTATATAAAAGCTTCTGTATATGCACTGGATGTTATGTGTAAGTGACGAATCATTGGGTTCTCCTCTAGAAACCAACACTACACTGTACATTAACTAACCTGAATTTAAATAAGTGAATAAAAAAAAAAGAAACTTCCGTATGAATGTTCCTAGCAGCGTCATTTATAATAAATAATAAATTAAGTCCACAATTATAAAACTGTGTGTATAATAGCCAAAAGGTAGGGTCCACCCAATGACCATCAACTGATAACTGGATCAGCAAAGTACAGTCTGAATAGCCACACGAAAGAATATTATTTGGCAGTGAAATGAAATGAAGCCTTGACACATGCTACAAATGGATACAAACATTATGCGAAGGGAAAGCAGCCAGTCACAGAAGTTCACACATTGCATGAGTCCATTTACATGAAATGTCCAAAACAGGCAAAGTCACAGACACAGGAAGTAGTTGCCTAGGGGTTGGGGGGTTGAGGAGAAACAAGTAAATAAATGCCAATGGGAATAGGGTTTATCTGGGGGCAAAAAAAATGTTCTAAAATTGTGCACAGTGATTCATAACTTGGTGAGCATGCTAAAGACCAGTGAATCACATGCTTTAAAAGGGCAAATTGTACAGTATATGAATCATATTTCAATAAAGCTGTTATTAAAAAAGCCATTGCTAGAGAGGAACAGGTTCTGTTATGACAGTTATTTCATGAGTAATGTAAAATAATTTTGAACAAATAAATAACAACTCTAGACTAGAAAAAGGCAATATTAATAAAACTACAGGGAGAATTGGAAAAAATCCACAGTGCTTATGAAAATTTTAACCACTGGCCTCCTCAGGAATCGATGAAACAGGAAAAAAACTGGAAAGAACATATAAGATTTAAGCAACAAAATTAACACACTTGATGTAAGGACTGATGCACAATATGGCAAGGTATAGAATGCACATTCAGTATAGACACACAAAGGACATTTATAAAACTGATCAAATACTGAGCTTCAAGACAAATCAAAAAACATTTCAAGACTCAAATCATACAAAGCATATTAAAAAAATTTTTTTAAATGTTTTTATTTATTTTTGAAGGAGAGACATGAGCAGAGCATGAGCAGGGGAGGGGCAGAGAGAGAGGGAGACACAGAATCCGAAGCAGGCTCCAGGCTCTGAGCTGTCTGCACACAGCCCAACATGGGGCTCGAACCCACAAACTGTGAGATCATGACCTGAGCCGAAGCTGGACGTTCAACCTACAGAGCCACCCAGGTGCCCCTATACAAAGCATATTTTTTTTTTAAATTTTTTTTTTTTTTT